CTCATGCTTTGCAGGTCTGATAATAGTTAAATGGCCGGAGCCTTACATAGATATATGCTAATATAGCAAAGTATCAAAATTACCAGGATATACGCTAATATAGCATACATTAAAAACTGTTTTTTTTTATCTAAAAGTATGAATCACATTACTGCTTTATAGCTCCATGCTTAAAAGTGTTAAAAGATGGTGATGACCTTACATCAATTGGAAGTGCATTCCAAGTCTTACAACTTGATAAAACAAAGCGACTAGAATTCTGTTCAGCCCGTCGTGTAGCTCTGGAGCAACAACAACTTAAGAAAATTTATAAGCGAAGTCTCAAATAAATGATACCCCCATATACTGATTATGGTAGACTTTAACTACCCGGGTATAGATTAGGATACATGGAACACAAAAGGCGATTTATTTATCCACTGTTTACAAGACAACTTTTTGTGGCCAGTCATAAAAAAACCTACAAATTGGAGAGGAAACGACAAACCACATAGAATTGACTTTGTCATATCCAACAGGGAAAATACAATATCATCAGTAGATTACCAGAGCCCAATAGGGAAACGTAATCATAATGTAATTATCTTGGAATACAATTGTAAGAAAATTGTGACCACCAGATCCATAACTAAGAAATGCTATAGCAAAGCAAATTTTGAAACAATAAATGAAGAAATTAATAAAATCGACCGGGGATACAAACTTAAAGAGGACAACGAAATCGATGAAAATTGGAAGTTATTCAATAATATAAAACACGAAATCGTGGACAAGCTAGTACCAACAAAAACAATTAAACCCCGCAAAACCAACAAACACACATTTCCGATTAACCAAGAAATATTAACGAAAATAAGATTAAAACACTCACTGTCATAACAAGTCGTGAATACCTCTGACCCGTATGTGAAACCTCGGTATTACAAGGTGAGAAACCAAGTCAGAAAGTTGACCCGAAAATTACGAAAAAACTTCGAACACTCTTTAGCCATAAACGCTAGTACGTAAGTAAAAATCCAAATCAAAAGTAAAAATCTGAGACTAACACGAAAACCAAAATTATATTACATCCAGTAAAGTCACTACAGACAAAGAGAAAGCAGATATACTAGCTCGCTTTTTTCCCAGAGTGTTTTTGTTATGGAATAGGAAAGTTAAACTCCTATCCTGTCAACTAAAGAAATAAGTTAATCCATGCCTGAACTAAAATAACAAGTGAAATGCAGGATAAGATAATATGCATCCAGAATTCCTAAAAAAATCTCCAAACAGTATAGCGTTCCAGCTTACAATCATATTTAATCAAACGTTAAAAAGGGAACTATTCCCAACGAATGGAAACAAGCACGAGTATGTGCAATACATGAAAACGGAAACACAAGTACTGCAGGAAACTTCCGACCTGTCAGCTTTATGATATATAATAATAAAGCAAATAATAAGCAAATAAACAAGCTGCGCGCAAACATTTTCCGATCACATTATTAAGTAGATAACCATCTTTCTGAATGGAGGAAAACAATGCGTATTACTAAAAGAGGTGTATTCCGAATGGACAAATGTTATAACGGGAATTTCCAAAGGATCGGTTCTAGGACCCGATCTTTTTGTTATATTTGTAAATGATCTCCCAGATATAGTTGACTCGGACATGTACATGTTCGCAAATGATAAGAAGATATCAAAAATAATAGAAAAGAGCGAGGTCGAGGTGAAGCTACAGAAGGACTTGGATACCATGTGTACCTGGAGCGGTACTTGGCTTCTAAGAATGCACCCAGAGCAATGTAAACACATGCACATCGGCCGGGAACTGAAAAACACAGAAAACCCTAACAGGACATAAAAACAGATAGAAAACAACCTCCAAATATCTGACGAGGAAAACGATATTGGCGTAATTATCGATTCAGAACTAACCTTCGAAATTCACATAAGCGAGAAAATCAAGAAAGCTAATCAAATGTTCGTCTATTACAAAGGACTTTGAACTATATGAGTCATAAATCCTTTCTTCCATTTTACAAAAGTCTTGTAAGAACACACCTGGATTACGCAAGTTTATTTGGGCCTCATTTAAAGCGAAGGATGTCGAAAGACTCGAGGCTGTACAACGCAGAGCAACCAAGTGTTTACCGGGAATGTATAATCTGCCCTACTCAGAAAGACTACAAAGACTTAAACTACCAACATTATGTTACAGAAGGGCGTGAGGGGATATGATTTAACTTAATAAAATAATAAATGGAGTATACGATAAAGAATCGTGCAGTTTTGTAAAATTGGAGAGATGTGGCAAAAAATGAAAATTTGATAATTTGATTATAAAAGATGTATTTTTAATAGTATATAAAATAGTATGTGTAACATTCAATTACATAACATTAAATCACCTTAAATGTTTGCCCGGCATTTCTTTATCCTTCAGTGCATATTATTCTGAAGTCCAGAGTTCGAATCCAGGTCTAGTCCCATAACAAGTTAGATTTATTCATCCGCTCGATAATCGTGCTATATATATAAATGTATATGAGTTAAGGCGATATGACCATTGATGGGTCCAGTTATTCAAACATGTGTAAATTGTCAGATATTTCTCAAAAAAAGAAATTGATTGAATGGATCATTTAACCAATCTTGCTTCGAACAAGCGGGTACAGATTTTCATAGGCATATGACTTTCTTTTTTGTTGAAATATTAACATAAAAAACAATATGAAAAAATATATAAAAAAATCACAGGAAACAACCGAAGTGTCAACGAAATCAAAATCGGTAAACTGGGGCAAAATTTGAACAAAAGAATTATTTACATGAAGAGTTTTCAAAAAGAAGTAGTATAAGTCCGGTGTTCCTAAATGGTAAGTGTCTTCTGCTTCATCGCCGACAACCGCAATGTAAATCTAGGTCAAATCCAAGTTATGTCACGTCCTCACATCGAGAACTCGAGTAGTGACAACAAAACTGCAAGGCACTAAAACGAGCATAATGAAAGCATCGACCTTTATATCTCACAAAATAATAGCATATTCTCTGCAATATCCTGTTGGCGTCATTAAAACATGCGCAGATCAATGTTAAATTTGATCATGGCAAAAAAGGAATAGCGTATGATACGCCATTATTAACACAAGAACATTATTCTTTGGAGTTTTAAGACATCGCATTGACCTGAACGTTTTCGTTTAGTAAGTTTAATGCATGCTTTTTTAATAGTAATTGTTATATGACAACTCCAGCTGTAATACTGTAAGTGGTTGATAAGGAGGAAAAGGCCAGGTCACAGTTCATGGCAGTTGTATTCGCTCTGCAGATCTTCATCTGTTTAGTGATACCAAGGGTCAGACTGGAGGTGTCAGCTAGCACCTTTCTAAATATGATTTAATGTAGTCAGCTTGGGTTTGTGTAATAAATGAACCTGGTAACTAATGGAAGTTGGCCATTCAATGTACTGAATAGTTTAACGACATGTCCCAAGTTCCACAAGGTACCACAGTAGTTTGATATCATATTGTGAACCAATATCTTCAATAAGGACGATAACCCTATAGCCTCGGGAGTATACACTTGGAGAACAAACGTAAACCTCACACACCTTTGTTAATATATGTGGTATTTAGAAAAGTATCTATTTCTGATTACAACACTTGATACGGTTTTATTTTGACAGAGTCGATGATGAATTCCAAACTACTTACCATGGACGAAATTGAAAGAGATTTTATGGTTTCAAGGAAAACTGGGTTCTTGATTGACTGTTCCAAAGTATGTTCAATCAGTGTATCTGCTAATTGTTTATTTGTTTCTTCAGAATTATAATAAACAGTGATAAGTTCTGATTGTAATTATATTCTTTTATGTATACCTGTTTCGTTAGTGTATGGTTTAAATAATCTGCAATATGAAAATACAAACGCAAATGTGATCGTGACAAATCATCCATGTTTTTTTATTTGTTTGTCCGAATCGTCTGAATATCAACTGCATTGAGAGTTCTATCCATATTTACACGGAGAACATTTTATTCTAATTCCTAATTTTCTTGTTTATTTTGCATACAATAAACTCGGGCATATCTGCCATCTTGCTGGGGTCGCTAAGAAGAAGCGGCCGAAAAGCTGTCTGATTTAGTGGAGAAGAAACTACTTCATCGTTTTGTAACAGAAAAGGTATAAATCGATGTAAATATAGATTGCCAGAATTTTAAATGTTGATTTACATGTTTTCTTCTTTTTTGCTTGTTGACAGGTAGGACTAATGTATGAAGCATATTTTTCAATTTTTTGTGGTGCTCTTAATGGGTTTTTTACTTGATAAATATAAAATACACATGTATCGATACATTTTTATTGTACAGTTCAAAACTTATAAGTGTGTGATTTGATTTTGAATTTACTAGAAATTTAAGTTAAGGTGTTGTTTTTTTAGCGTCCCATTTCAGCTAAGGATCAAGTCTATAATATTCTCATTGAATTAAACAAAGAAGCAAAAACCCATCCATTTTCATTTGTCTCATGCTCACAGTAAAAATGATTAATTGTTAAATTTCAATACAACATCAATTTTCGTCAAAATCAGTTTATTAATATGTGGCATCAACTATATATGGCTTTTATACTAGTGACGTCGATTACTACTGGCGGCAATACCATTTCAATAGGTATTTGGAGTCAATACCAACCTGCTATCTAGCAGTACAATCCATATTTCACTTCAATGTGAAGCGGCGAAAACTACGAGTCAATCAATGTTTTCTCATGTTTTCTCATCTGCAAACAGTTGGTCCGCTTATTTCAACAAAATCATTATAATATTACTTCAAATAATTGACTTAATGAAACCTCGTACTATGTGGAGTTTATTCTATGTTTCCACGACCAGATATGATTTATATGTCCACAGCTTTGTGAAGACGCGTTGATGCTTCCAAAAGAAAAAATGCAAGTTATTGAAACTTCATACAGTGCTTTCGTTCATAACAGCTGGATATGTGTGGCAGGATGGAGGTCAATGTGCAGCACAGGTATGCCATTCCAGCATGAATAGATGTTTAACAAAATAATGCATCCTGTCGAACCAAAGAATGTATGTAGATATTTGATGTCCGAAATTTATCCTTGATTATGACAGAAAATCATGACGGGAACATTTGTGATGATAGAAATGTTTACCTATCGTAGCATCTGGTTGCAATTTCGGATTTTGTATGAGAATAATGGCTTTCTTATTGGTGATTTTGTTTTCGTTTTAGTGTCTTCTATATTTCGATTTATATTATGAAGTTTACTAACGTATCATCCATTTGACTGATGGTGAAACTTTGTAAGCTAACTTTCTAACATTTAAAAGGGGATTTATGTAATTTCTCGTTTGTTTCAAGAATAAGAGCATTTTCAATTTTCACCTTTTTCCCCCCTAGCATCCCCGATGAATTCTGACAACTTCATGGTGCAGTGAACTTCAGTTTTGGCATCCAGTTTATATTACGCAATCACTGGTGGTTGTCCTACATTTACCTTTCAGTGACTTCCCAGCTGCTTAGCTGTTCCGCTGGTGAAGGTATCAGATGCTTTAGGGATGAAACCAGTCATATCCTACCCTAGTATGATGTTATCAAATTGGAGAATACTAAACGTGGATGAGTAAGTTATTGTTTGTTCAAAGTGATAACGAAAGATAGAAATGATTGAAGGGATAAAACGCTTCTTTTTAAACAAAAAATATCTATAGGTGAAACGTGGGCTGTAATAGTTTCTCCCTGCCGAATCCACTTCTGGATTTTTTCATACAATTCTTACATATTTTTACCAATACTGTAAACCACATTTATATAGTTTTGGTGTTGAATTCGCGTAAGATTTAAAAGCGAATTATATATATTATAGTATCATATTATATTAGTATTATATTATTATATTATATTAGTATTATATTATATATTATTATTATTATTATAAATCGTTGAATGTTTGGAACCATTGAAAACTTTTGTCTTTACAGGGAATTTGAGGTCAGGTAAGTATTCAGAGGAAAATTGAAGTAAAGGAATGTTCCTTTTTTGTGAAATATTTGTTTGAAATTTAGTTATGCTCCCCTTATTTTATTGCTGATATATTTTTATGGTTTCCCCCCTCCCATTATTTAGGAACAGGCTTTGTATATACTAAACGAATACAATAAAATGTATATTTAATGATAAGAATAAGCAAATAAATATACATTAAATCAAATAAAAAATGTTGATAATTTCGGAATTATGATATTTTGGGTTCCCTAATTTGATATGGAGTATATAATTTGCAGGCGGACAAACTAACAAAATACATCGATGTACAGACATAAATACATACGTACTATTTCCCTTTGTTTAGTAGAAATCTAGTGCCAATTTTCACAACTCCCGGTGGATCAGGAGCTGACTTGTTCATTCTCACACACGCAGTGGTGGAGCACAGGTTTGGTCCAGCTATCAAGGTATCCCAATTCCATATTGCTACCGATGTATTATATATAACAAATGCAGCAACATTTGAGTTAGACACATGCCATACCGTAACAATCTAACCAAACCTATAGCACACAACACCAACACAAATCCCCCATCAAAATGTATCAAACCGTTGATCGACCAATCTTTAATAAGCTATTAATGACATGACACGATGCTTGTGAAACATGTTTTATAAAAACGATTTATAGGTATTCTCGATATCTTTTCATCTTCCCTGATAAAACAGCAAAATACTTATTTCACAGCTTTATTATTTCTTTTAATCAAAACAGAATGAAAGACAATATTCATTCACAAAAAAGGTGTTTTCCTTGGTCCCAAAAACACAAGATCATTAACAGCACTTTAGTTCTTCAGAAACCACTCCATTAATAAGTCCCCCAAACGAAGTGGGGAACTTATTGGTTTTACTCCGTTTCCTTTTCTTCTTCTTCTTCTTCTTCCGCCGTAATTTATTTTCCGTCCGACTCATTTCTCAAAATCTATTGGATTGACATCAACGATTAGTGTTTATCATGGCTAGGGGGAATGCAAATGACCTTTCATTTTCCGATCGGTCAACCAAGCTGGCCGCCACCGCTTCTGATTGGTCGGAATTAAATGTTGGTATATTTTACTCAAAGGTAGGGTCAACGCCTATGGGGATTTAATATTAGCGTCGGCACCCACTTTGAATTTCAAAAGAAGATAAATCGAAAAAGGTATGGGTATAGGAGGCTTAAATCAGGAACAGTTAGTTTCAGAAATCATTTGATGATAAATGGGACCTCCTTGACTTACACCTGTGTGGGTGTTAAAGGTGCAGTAATACAATTCCTCCTAGAGCATTTCAATGGCACAATTAATATAAAATTGTATCATCATCGTGTGCACATATTTCAACTGTTACTTTGATACCGAATATTACACTATTTCAATAAAGAATTGTTCTTTTTATTCAAGAATTAAGCAGAAAAATGTGTGAAATTTCATTTCTTATGAGAAATTTTCCATTTTTGACACGTTAATTCAATATAGTTCTAAAACTAGTCTATTGTTCTTACTTGTTAAAAAGTTGGCTACTAATAATATCTTTCAACATCAGGAATTTCAAAACAATTGAAAACCGGTAAATTTGTCGTATACTACTTTTGGTTCCAAAAAAGAAAAACATAGCTTTCTTTCCACATTTCCTTTAACCTGTGTTTCTTCAAGACTAAAGGTCATTGGGCGTTGATATTTTGTAAGAAGGTTGTTCATGTAAATGAGTTGAAGTGTTGTTAATTTCGATGACCTTGACCTTTGTTCAAGGTCCCAGAAACCAAATGTTTTTGTATGGGGAGTCAGACAAGGGTATCTTTCCTTGCTTTATTTGTTTAGAGTTAACGATATAAAATAGTGTAATAAACCTTCATTATTTGTTTAATGAATGGCCAAAAGGCTACAAAAATAATAACTAGAACTGTAAGCCAAAGATTAACTAAAACCTCCGCTCCTATAAAACCAGAACTGTAAGACAAAGCATTGCAAATTAATCCATAGTCTCCCACCAGTAATTATGTATGTATATATGTCACTGACACACTTCTTGTACTCCCTCTCTATGCCAAAACATACTTTCATACCACATCTTGTTAGCCTAAAAGGGTCGAAATGAACAAATACTACCCTGATGCAAAACACCAGGGGGTAATTCCCATATCTGTAAGCTTTCATGAAATTGGCCCAGAAGTTTCAGAGGCAGACAAAGGTTTTTTCAAGAAAAGGCCATAACTCCTTTTTAAAGGGTCGGAATGAAAACATACTTCTTGGATACAAAATGTCAGGGGGCAGTTACCATATCTGTAAACTTCCATCGAAATTGGCCCCATAGTTTTGGAGGAGTTGTCTGGACAAGTGTTTTTCAACAAAGGGACATTCTCCGTAAAAAAAAAATGGTCAGATTGAAAAAAGAATTCCTGGATGCGTACCATCAGATGGTTGTTACCATATCTGGAAACTTTCGTTGAAATTGATCCCTTAGTTTTGGAGGACAAAGCCGGACAATGGTTTTTCAACATAAGGACATAACTTTGAGGGGAAAAATGGTCAGAATGAAAAAATAATACCTGGATGCACAACTTCAGGTGTCAGTTATCATATCTGGAAACTTTCGTTGAAATTGGTCCACTACTGTAGATTAAGTTGACAGAGAGACGGATAGACAAGCTGATTCCAGTATACCCCCACCCCTAACTTCGTTGCGGGATATAATAAAGTGCATAATAGCTTTGTTATTAAGATTATTTTATTAATCTTTAGATAATTGCATAGCTTTGTCTATAACACAATCTCAACCTAAAGTAGTTATCCAGAGGAAAGATTACTATGACAGAATACATATTTATGAGTTATTACTATTGCACATAACTTGAAAACATGCCTAACATAATAAAGTGTTTTAGTATGATACAAAAACAGAAAAATTATCGGTATTTATCATAATAAACATCGATAGTCAAATCTTCTAGGTTATGTGAAATCGGGCATTGACCATGTTTGGCATGCTAAAAAAGTACATTATTGGTTTTGATATTACATAAAAATGATTCTGTAGACAGAATACATATATAGGAAGTTTTTAAAGAAGTTTAAAATATAGACTACCATTGTAACTATATAAAGGCAAGTTGAACAATGTTAGTTTTAATTTTAATTTTGTGAACATTTTGCAGTTTTGTTCCAATTAAAAGTATCACTACGCTTACTTCATGTCTACCAATATGACCTATTTAGTATCAAAATAACTGTAATTTTATACACTCTACACTATCATAATTCATTTCCAAATTAACATTTGCCTGTGATATTTATCCGTCATTTTGTTAGGATACCCAGGTCACTTAACCTGGTGTTATGCAAGAAAGTCCACTACGGTTATCAGTATCAATTATGAATAATCATTGATGCAGTTATTGATAATTTTTATGTATCTACATATGGCAAAAGAATAAAGGAAATTAAAGTGGGGGCCAAATGTTGACCCCACCTTTGGTAGTTTGGGGGACCTTTTTAACGGTTCCCCATTATAATAAGTACTTGTTGTGTTTGAGATACAACTATTGTGGTGCTGGGACAACAATCAACAGCATGCTTAATGCTTAATACACAGAAAGTCCCCATTGGAATACCTGTATGGAGTACAATGTTTGTGTACAGTAAATAAGCGTAACCAAAGCCTATGGTGTTAATATGTCGCAGTTAATCGATTTCTGAAGAGCTTTCTATATAAACCACGATTACGCAATTGCTATCGACTTATAACAAAAGGTTTCAAGATATGTATTTTGACTAATACTAAGGCTAGTTTGATGACTGCCTACATGACATAATCAGGAAATAAGCTATGTCGTTGTGCGCTATGAAAGGTCGATGGTTTTGTTTACGCCTATTGTGCATTTTTTTATTCGTTGCTTCTCTTCAAGTTCGTTATATTTATGAGGAAGTGACTACTTGGATTTACTTAGATTTGCATTACGAGTGTCGTCGATGATACAGAAGACGCTTATCCCCTTCCGGAACATCTGGTCTTATTATCTCTATTTTTAAAGGTTTCCATGTAAATATTTCCTTTGTAAATATTTTGTCATAGTTTTATCATTTTTATCGAGTTCGAATTATGGTTTTGCTAACACTTCGGTATTCTCCTGTCGTTTCTTGATCCCTACCTTTTTGCTTTGTCTTTTTGACGCCATACATCACGTTTTTGTGTTCTTCTGAACAGGCGTCCTAACAAATATCTCTTCATGAGATCGTAATTGTTTTTCAGTCAATAATAGAAGCCATTGGCTATACCCACCAAAGAGGTACACACCACGATCAACTACTGATACAGACGTTGAGTGTTATTCCACAGGTTATGAACAAAATGGTGGTCACTTTCCAAAATATAAAAGGTAAGGTTTCTATTCTACAGGAAGACAAACAGTTTCTTAATTCTACCAGGTTACTCAAAATTCTGTGTTCGTCATGTAGTAGTTACTTCGATATTTGTATTTGAATTATGTTGTCACTTCAAGTTTCCGTGGGGAAGGCAGTGTATTGAATGTCACTTAAAAGTTTAAATTACTGGCTTTTGATCTGTGTAATGCTGATATTATTTTTACAGAATCAATTGTATCTTTAAGTAACCTTATTGTTCATAAATCAGAGTGTTTTATTATTATCAAATTGACCAGCGCCCTTATTTTTAGAACCGGTGTTTTGTATTTCCTTTTATATTTCAGACGGTTTGGCGCCGACCTTTTACTATGACCGTCTACGGATCTTCTATAGCGGGTATGACGTATCATATCACATACGTAAACGTTTAATGATAGACATAACCTTACTATACATACGTTTATTTGCAAAATATTTAGAGAGAAACATTAATAAATCATGAGAATGCAAAAGTTGAAAGCGGAATGATTAGTTGCTGACATATATAAACAAGAATTGATTGACACATTTGAAAGGTACAAGCGAATTGATCATACATTTATAAGGTACACAGCCATGCGCTCACTGGTATCGCTTACGGAACTTTGCTGTATTGACAATTTGTGAGGGTAATATGCTGAGCAATATTTTACTCCTACACCTATAATACATGCTGTGTAAGGTAACATATATCCTTAATACTACTTGGGCCGCGTTGGCCAAGTGTTTAAGGCGTCTGGCATTATGCTACCACTAGTCCTCCACCACTGGGTCGCGGGTTCGAGCCCTACTTTGGGCAGTCCCCAGGTACTTGCCGTAGGTCGGTGGTTGTCTTCAGGAACTCCAGCTTTCCTCCACTACCAATTCCTGGCACGTCCTTAAATGACCATAGTTGTTAATAGGACCTTAAACACAAACAAAAACATTCTGCTATATGTCAGATTTCGAAACCGCACGCGGACTCATCAGCTTAACAAATATAGATTCTTTTTTTTATTAAAATCACAAATACGCCTACTCTACATGACCACCAGATATTACTCATGATAAAAGATAAATATCACGATATGAAAAATGTCTAAATAAAGCGTATACTATTTTTTATTTGATTTTTGTTGTACCCACTAACTAACTTTACAAATGGCGTATAAATGTACATCAAGTTATTATAATGATTATTTATCAAGGTTGCAAAGTGGTAAAATGTACATTCCCTACTGTGTATTCTTGTTTTAATGAAGAGAAACACAAGGCCAAATATAACATAGATTAAGCTAAGAATACTCGGATATTTCAAATTTGATATTGCTAGTATGACGCGTGACCTTGTGAAACCTTTTGTCATTAATCATTATGATTGTTACAGGTGGGGACTGGGTAATACCTCGCTACCAAACGGACTTATCAATGAGGGAGTACAGGATTCCCCTTTAATGGTATCAAAAATAATGAATAATAATCATAATTAAATATTTGTCTTCGATATGGGTTATTTTACATATGTGATAATCAACATAATAATGTTATATCCTGGCACGATGTTTTTTTCTTTCAATACCCTATTCCGTATTAACCCTCAGCTTGTCTCAGATTGTGTCTCCAGCCCCTCGGGCTGATTTGGAACTCTCAAGCTATGGAAATGGTCATATGATAACATTTAAATATATGTAGCTATATTTCGGATAAAAAAGTGTAATCTTTGATCTAACAGGTGTTCGCATCCTTTAAATTGTATAAACATGCGTATAAAATGTTACAGTTGAGACATTTTTTGAAGTTTTTATATCAAAGAAATAATGTACATGTATGATAGGTTATACGTGCACCGTACCTGGTCAGTTATGGGGTTAATGCCTGAGCCGGTAGCATCACGTGCCTTTATAAATATGCTCAACACAGTTGATGCAAGTAATATAAATATATCTCCCTGCTTATTCTAATTAGGATTTTAATCATTACATAACTATAATATAAGATATGGTATTATAAAGCTGTCAAACACTATACTAGCAAAGTAGATCTACTTTCGCTTTCCATTAATTATATTATCCTGTATAGATGAGAGGCGGAAGTGCCGCGCAAAGCTGTACACTGCAAATGTTGGACGCAGCGTTTGGTATCGTGCATAGTGAAGGTATGTTGCACAGCTTATCGCACGATCTGAAAAACATAACTTAACTGAATGTCAATGATAACTCTGAAGATATTTTGCTGGTGTTTCATCATCAAATACAATCAATTCCATGTTCTTGTCTGCTAATGTTATATTTTCATATCACTTATCAATTCCTTTATATTCATACGAAATTAATTTTAGTGTTGGTTTTCGAGGATATATTGAAATACAAATATAAAGAACGGTTTAACAAAACCTAGGTCCAAAGCTTTTATAAATGGTATTTTTTATTTGGTTTGCTTTTACTTTTCTTAAACGACTTAATCTTTCGTTCGCAATCTAAAAATAGATCAGTGACACAATAAATAGGATTTGACTGTAAACCTGAAATAAGATTTCATCTTTATTTCATCATCATACAATCATAAATATCGTATGTAATAAAGACATAAAGCATTACTTCATTGGTCGATGTTTTATTAATGCTTAGCTCAAATATAAAAAATAATTAGACTGAACTCTCGGTACTTTATTATAAGCTATCTTTTATAGATTCTTTTGTATATGAAATGAAATGGAGACAGTTAAAGTAAAAGTTGTTTTTCCTTTTACAATTTTGGAAGTAACTCCATGGAGGTTTTACACATTGTTTGCATTGACAGAGACATCACCCAGGTCAATTTCTTTTGTTCTTTTACTAATAATATAGCTGTTAATTTATTCTAGATGAACAGAAATACTTGGACGAGGTGAGAGGATATATGCTACAAGAACATCGAGATCTGTACGACTACATAAAAGACCGAAGCAGAATAAGAGAATATGGTAACGAAATGTATAAATAAAAGAATTTTCCAAAATTAATTTATGAACAGTTACTGTAGTTCTTATTAGAATTGATTTATCTTTTAAATATTACAGTTACCATAGAGCTATGGAATACAACCAACATCATAAAAGCCTGCGACCCAGACACCGAAGCTGATAACAAATTTCAATTCGAGGTTAAATAACATTGTCGTAGTATTTAAAAAGTATTTTCAAAACATCGTCGATGAAAAAAAGGCGTATGGAGACTAATCCTAGTTAAAAAATAACAAAAACATATAATTAAACATTTAATCAAAAGATATAAATTATATTTCCCAGACTTTCAGGTACATTCTACCTTAAAACCTTAAAACAACAGAACACGAGCAGAAAGTGAAAATTTGTTTTCGCGAAAAATGACAAAATATTGTACTTAATATAATATGCTGTAAACATGTTTGCCAGTCTGCCTAATCATGGTACTTAATAAGTCATATGTCGCGATTATGTGTTTTTAGTGGAAAGTAGCTTCAATGAATCTGTGAAGGAATCGTACAACGCATGTATCATGGCCATACAGGGATTTAGACGGCACCATATAACGAAGGCGTATGAGTAAGTAACATACATATAAATGCATACATGTTTGCTGAGTTAATTAGAAGACATCCCTGCTTGTATTCCTCATTCACTTTTATTGCATTTCGTTTTCATTCAAGTTTTACTCTTTTCAGAAAAAATAACTGATCAAGATTAATTGATCAATACGTATCTTACATAAAACTATGACAAAGCTTGATTCTTTGTCTATATATTTGAGTTGCAAAAAACAAGTTTGAAAATTACAAACCAAACTTTCTTTGATAACTTTAGAGTTAATTAAATTTAATATGCTTCCTTATGATGTTTGCAATATTTTAATATCTAAATACATATATTTATCACCCACAAAGTAATCCAATTTTGCATTGATAAATTGTATTCTTCATTTCTATCAAAAGTAGATCTCCTAATTCGCGATCGCCGCCCCTGTTTCTTAGGGAATTTACTTGAACACTCTTTGTATGTGTACGTACTACTCGCTTCATATAAAAGTCGCATGTTGCATTCACCAAAATGATTGCTTGATTTGTGTATGTAATAAACCTCACTAACTTAGGTACATTACGCAGCCGGCTCAGAGACCAGACGGAACAACTGTGTTGAATTTATTCGTGATAAAGGCACAGGAGGGGCAGGTAAGACTCAGATCTGGGTAGTCTAGAACAAGTGTAAATAACAGGTAAATATTGTTTTTCTGATAAGCTTGGAGATATTCTAGCGTGATCTTTCTGTTCCTGTACCGTTCTCATGATTGTCTCAGTAAAACCCTATTCATGTATTTATTCTTGCATTCCATTTATTTTGTTAGTAGAAACGGATTTGTATAAGACAAATTATTTTAGTTTAATTACTTTGCATGTATATTGCATTTATCTTCCAGGATATATCAAGTTTCTGAGCAGGATCAGACGGAACACCGCTTTATCCAAACTACCTTCGGAACATATCGCCACCACTAAAAATCTTGCTACGAAAGAATCAGTTTTTAACCAACGTGACCAAAATTAACAATTTTAATTACATTCTAAAAAGAGTGAGTCTGATGGAAAAATACTTGTAATTGGAGAGCTGAAAAAAACTCTTCAGAAGGATGACACAATTCATATACAAGTCGTTGTTTAATGCATGTTTGGTTTCTTGCAGTTTGTGGCTTAATACATATTTTTCCCTTTGATTTTTTATGAAGGCCATTTAAACAAAGTTAAATCAGTATATCAGTTGATGTAGTATTGAATATCATCGTGTCAACTTATTCGCCAGAATACTTTGATCCTCATTTCCCTCTCATTTTGTCTTTCAAGCTTCTCCGTGAAGGATACCTATCCTTTCTCCACCTATAATGACACTTAGCAACAACTTGCAAACAGAATTATTTTAATTCGGTAGCTTGTTATTTAGTTATGAACCTTGAATTGATTCTATAACTTAAATTCAGAAGGTGATTCGGAAAAATCGTTCTTAACTTCGTGATTATTTATTCACTAACCTGTGAAAGTCTACCTTTTCAAATAGTGTGTAAACATCAAAGGCTACTTTTGTTTCCCCATGTTCTTTTGTGTCGAAATAACGTATAATAAATTACTTACTGGTTAACTTCTGTTTCTTGGTTTTTCTCAGGGTGGAAATGAAATGTAAATCAATTGTAAAGTGGTGAAATTTGGCGATATAAGTATTCTCATTAATTGGAAATATAATTATTGTTTTTGAACTTATTGTGAAATTGAGGTTCTTGCACTTGCACAAAGTACTCGACGACAAATATTGCGTTTCTTTTGCTTTATTCGTATGGAAAATCCGTATGGAAAATCCCTAAAATGATATAAAAACACTAGTTGTACAATACAGACACATATTAAACATATTTCCTATCGAACACACAGAACATTAACTTTTACAATACATAACGCGAACAATGGAATATTTAAAAGGACGTGAACACAATTCTATGACTTCTAGATAAAAATGGAGTTACTGTATCGTTACATACAAATGAATTATAGAACATTCTCAGTGTAGAATGTAACTTATAATATTTTACTTTGACTTGCAACTAATTTACACAAAGGAATTTACGTAAGTCTAAAACAATAATTTACCAAATAATAATTTATCAAATAATGCTAAATTAATTAAATACACATTCTGTAAATAACTTACCCTGCATGTGGTGCTGAGGATATATTGGATGAATAATCAATTTATGCCATCGATCTTCAAACTTAGGAAAAACTCATCTATACAATGTAGGTCTGACCCCTTGTAAATAATGTGCCCAAGGGAAGAAATAGAGAGAGAAAGGCGGGAAATAAAATAAGCGTCGCATTGCGCATGCATGTCCAAAGTGGTCAGTCTGGTCAACAAAAGAATACAACACATAACACATGACATCACAGGTGTTACACAATCACATACTTATACAATGTGCATAATACGGGCCATAATAACAAGTATACGGAAAGCGGAAATACGGGTCACGTGATACAGCGGCACGAACGGAAAATGTAACTTACTTAACAATCTTCCATAGTGAAGTATTTATTTTCTTTCAAATCCAACTTAATCAAATTAAAACCTAAATATATATAATATTCACTTAATACAACAGCGTGCCACATTATCATACATTAAGATATAGCAAGAACAATATACTGCGTTTAAGGACCATAACTCCGTATAAAGCCAATGGCTGATATATTTGGCAAGAGTATTACTTTTCTACATGTGTATACCAAACTCTAACTGTATATGTTAATTAGAACGAAATTAATGCCAACATTTTCCTTTCGTATTTTTAAATGATTCCTTTTAGTTGTATTATGTATACTGTAATAAAGAAGATGATACAGATTTCATTCTTTTTTGGAAGTGTCTGTTTGATTAACACAGTTTTAAATATAATGACGCTGCCAGTTAAACATATTTAATGTTTAAAGATAAATCTCTATTGTTGATGATATCGCAATGCTTTCATTTAACATCTCAAACAAACTTCGAAATACAATTCAGGATTTCGTTTTCACACATTATTGTTATATAATAAATATCTACAGTTTTACCAATAACGAAGTTCTGAAATTACTTTGTTAATAAATTTGTTTCTTACTATGCCGCCAAAACCGGACGAACAAAATCCGTTAAAGGAACATACCTCTGCAAGTTCATACACAGTAACTGTAAAAAATCTTATTGTTCATTATTGTCAAATATAGGTGTCTGCAAAAACTCGCGTGATAAGTTAATCAGTAAGTATTAAGGTAGCTGCTGACGATTTAAGATTAATATTTCACATTTGAAAATAACCTAACGGGTCCCCTCGTCGTAATCAAGAATTATTTCATACATATATATTAAACAGATTTTGGTGCATAAGTAGAAATCAGAGGGGAAAATGCGCATAAGCTAACGAAATTTAAAAGTAAAAATATTACGTCAAAAACAAGAGAACAAAGTCCAACGTCAATCTATAATTTACAGATCCTAAACAAAACAGTAGGCCTTATTGGTTATACGTAGGTATGGTTTCATTTCATTTACTCATTGATGTTTTTCTGTCAATTTCGTTTAAAAATAATAAAAGTAACAACATTGCAGCTACATAAATAATGCTGCTGTTTCAGTGTTTATTATATATTAGCTGTGTATGTAAAGGCATGATAAATCCTGAAACCACTCCCTTGAGAGTACAGATGTGTCTTACCACAGAAACAACCAATCACATTAACATAATAAGGTTTGAATTAGAATACAACTGTTCAATTTTAAGTTTGTTAAAATTCAATGCATTCCTTCATACACTTACAGGTTTACCTACTGTAATTTTGTTTTAAGCTAGGCTGACGCAATGTAGCAAGAAAAAAAGGTAAAAGATACTTAAAACAACATAATACTGTTATCAATCCTAATAGTCCTCTTCAGCTTCAACATTAAAAAATATAAATACGTATGAACGGGACTACATTCCTATCTATCTAATTGAAGCACCACCCCTATTCATTGCATTTTCTTTAAACGATACCCCAATATATATGCATGATGACATCCTCGAATGCATTGAGTTTTTTTTCTGGTGGTACATAATTGTATCATCCAGAGTGGAATATTTTAAGTGTGACAATTGAACCCATTTTACTATGACCTCCTCAACTGACCACCAGGTCTAAAGTGCATAACAGTAAACAATCTGAGAGAAGCCCACAAAAATATAAAAAAAAACATTGGTGTGCGGTTCCTGACTACATGTCCAACGATAGGGGAACTAGTCATTCAGGATGGATGTGAAAATTAAGCCATTTTCGTCTTAATTTTGCTAATGTTTTTACTTCGACAAAGTTGGTTTGCTACTGATCTATGTTTACACCGGAAGTATGCATGTAACATTTGACTGCAAATATCATGTTTATGTTGGAAAAGACGTATTGGCACTGGTTCAAAATTAAGTGTTACAAATAGCGTCCGAAGCTTACTTTATGGAAATTGTTTGGGGCAGCTCTTGGTAGAAGCAACAACTGTCATATTTTAAGTTATGTTTGTATGTGAAAATGATCCGAAAGGGTGATTTACGTTGCTGTTGTCTGTTCGTTGGGTTTTCAACTTGTGTGCATGATTATCTTCAACCAAACAAACCGTTTTATACGCAGAGGATGTGTAATAATTTTCCGCAGAATATCATCTATATCTTACAACTATGACAATCTACCGATAACGCTAACCACAAATACTATTACTATCCAGGACACACATGCCCTAACTAGTCTCGCCATATATATAGCCTTACATAGACATATACGGTATGTGTATTACCTGAGTCTTAACGACGATGGTGACCAACAGTCTATTTTATCGATAACCTATAACAAGTGATTATATCTTGTAAGTGACTTATATACTGTATTAGACGGATAACCACCACCGGTCAATTGGATACGGTCTGCTCGCTGGTTGAACAACATTGTGGCAAGTATCGACTCCAATTCCGTCACCTTCATTTCAACGGACTGACGTGGTCGCATAAGCACGTTCGCTGTCTATGTTAGTGTCGTAATATATAAAAGAACAGACTTAAAAGGATATAGATAGAATAATACGAATTGTTTAGAATATCTGGTAGGTGACTATCGAACGCTGCAAGCAACGTCCACCAGGGCTACATACTGTGAGACGGATAGAGGATAGACTACAGGGTATATCGGTAAGTGTATATCTATCAAACTGGATCTAGTTGTGTCAAGACATTAAGGATACGTTAAATATAATAGTTTGACAAAATCATTAAACTGTAACATAAGTACTGTATTCTATATTAACTAAATTGTTTTTTTTTAAGTTTCATGACGTACATTTTTTGTTTCCAGTCAATCTATTAAAAAGTATAAAACGTTTTTTTTTCCATTTTATTTTGGACTTTGAGTAAGAAAGAATGAAGCTGTATCCAACCAAACTTTTCCGTATCTAGCTTCCTGGTCTTGTTGATGACAGAAAATAATTCGGGTCTGTTCAGTGTTTGACAGATAGCGTCCGACTTAAGTAGCGGAGGATATTCGTTACCAAAATTGCAGCTAGAGAGGTCCGTTTATGAAAGTTTTTATCTTGGGTACTCAGTGTTCGTCTCCAAGAGAGCAAAACTCATATAAGGAATATTATTTAACTCAGACTGATAACATTATAAACGTAAGTTAGTTTAGTTTTGGTGGACTCATTGTACCGATAATTCTATTTTTACGCTATCGTTTAGAATTGATGTCGTTTAATTCTAGTGTTTGTTTGAAAACCTGAATTTCTGACAACATGATCATAACCTGGCCAACATTTCATATGTATTTAGAGCAAAGCTGACTGCCTATTTATTTGTGTGTTGACTGCAACTTGTACAATTTTCATGCATCAAACTGAACACCAGGTGATTTTCGCATTTTCTAATCTTAACAGGTGTATTTCTAGCTGTATATTCGCGGGAGTTTTATTTTGCGAAAGGAAAAAGAAAATATATTTTTGCTCGTTGTCTTATTTTGAATATGTTTTTTGCGTATACTTAAATACAAAATCATCTTACCTTGAGATGAATCGTAAACACTACATATCTCTCAATGTGATAAACTGTAATTAAAAGGGACACTCATTCCTGATTGATATAGACACTGTAGTATAGACAAGTGTCTGATAAGAGATGTGTTAATGAACTCCAATAAGATATATCTTATATCATATAGTGTACTTACTATATAATAAGTAAATTAGTGTAATATAGTTATATAAACTATATTATAAACCTAATTATATAAAGGTCATCTCATCGTCATGATTGGCGTAACACATGTAGTATTATTTGTAATGTTAGATGAAAGTTTAATCCCGATAATGATTATAACCTTGTTTACAGGTGTACATTGACTGTTTCAGTATTTATATGGATAAATTCATTGTCATTAATGCAATATTTATCATAAATACAATTAGCTCTGCAGCAATATATGGATGCAAATTGAAGTTCATTTATAATGACATGAAAACAATGTTTGTTGCATAATTTATTTCATGCGACGTAAACACTTTTATCATATTTGTATACGTAAATTGATCATGGTA